TATAATACTAACACACTTTTGACATCCAAAACAATGTGGTAGTTGTCAGCAATATTAGGTTGTTAGATGTCAATTATTAATGGATCCTTAGGTTGTTTCATATATGTGACTTAAGCTTGATAAAACAACATTATAACTGAATAATGGAGCCCTCACTAAGAGGAGCCCCTCAAAAAATAAAGGTATGCCACATTAAGTGACGAGCACACGGCATTCTTTAGTAAAAGGCGAAAGAATAGTTCGCTTTGTGCTTATCACATGGCTCCATGATTCTTCAAAAGCCAAGCTCTTTTCTTTTATACCAATAACAATTGAATCATCTCAATGGTTTCAACAATGTGGGCTTTGATTTGCATTGTAGTATTTCTTCACTTTCATGCTCTTTGAGTCATATGAATGGAATAACAATTCATATTTGATGTTAACATCATATTCTTAATATTTTAGTTTATTGATCTTGGAAAATGGAAATTCAGATAAATATTGAAGTGGGATAAAATTAGATGTGAAGCTTTTTGCTTCTACATAGAGTTCTGCTTGGTTAATGAAGGACCCCAAGGGAAATTCCCTTGTATTGATTACTAAGTAATTAATGATATCATTCAATTAACATCTTCTTTCGGGTATTGTGGGCACAAAAACATGTGAAGTGGAAGCTGAGACACAAAGTCTTATGCTACAGGTCTAACAAGATTGTTCCAACAACATGAGTAGGATGATGCCAAGTATTTGCACATTGTAATTATTTCTAGTTATGTAAGACCAAAATGACTCTTTCCCAAACAACTTAAGATCACTAACTTGTGATATGTATCTAGTGACAATCACACAAACGGGTAAAATAGGTAAACAAACCAAACATGGTTTTAATCTCCATGTGTATAATTTTATATCGAAGTAGTAAATAATAATAACTTGTTATTAATAATACTAAATAATATGCATTATATTATAATAGAGTTAATAGTTTTTGTAGGGTATTTTGAAAGAGTAGTATTAGAAAATCAAATTGAGATCTTTTAAACAAAGAATGAACGATCTTTTAATTCTTCCTCAAACTGATGTTTGGATCTTAAGAATTTTAAAAATATTAAACGTACCGAATAAACTTGAAAAAACATTCTTTCGAAGTCTCAAAGTATACTTTTAACACTTCCCAAATATAATATTATTTTCAACGAGTGAAATTAAATAACAAATATATTTTTTTATTTAAAATTATTATTTATTTTGTGTTTGGACTTGACATTGATAAACATTTACACCAAACACTTATTTTATATTTTTCAGTATAAATATTCACTAAACCAAAACATTAAACATTTACTCTAAAAATACGTTTGAAGATTGTTGGAACATTATTTTGAAGTAGTCGAAACTCATCTATAAAAGGATATAGCAACTCGATTTTCTGTTGAACAATGGTTACACGAATTAAGAGGAGAAAAAGACAGAGATGATACCCCGCGCCTAAAGTTTTGTAGTCGCCACCACATTTTTATAGTCAGAATATTGAAAACACTTTTTTATGCCCAATATCAAAATAAGCTGATCGTTAAAATTGAGTTCTAATTAGAGAGTCGATTATGGATCGAAGAAGGTATTAGCCCCTGATTTTTCACATGAACGCCCAACTTTGTCTTGCTCATTAATGGAAGATAGTAGTAGAGTACCTGATACAAAACACCAAACTTGCACCGTTGGTGAAGGAAATGATCTAATATTTGTGTTTGCCCTTGACATTTTATTTCTAATTAAGAAGATTGTTCAAACAATGTCTGAATGTTAACTTTTTTTAGGAAAAGAAAAATCAAATTAGGAATTCTCCAATAAATTATAATTTTCTTAAACAAATAAATCATTTAATTAGACGATTTTGAAATAAAATATGAGAACGAGAACTTAGAATTAGAGGGTGCACCGGCCCATGTAATAGTGCAACACATGAGCGATACTTAAGAAACCCAATAGCAAGCTACTGTAATGGTCTCTCCCCTTCAAAAAAGTAATTTAATATCGTGTGAGTCAATGACCCACATATCAGATATTAAACTGATAAGAACAGATACTACACTTGATCTTAGCCAAAAGGCCGAGAAAGGTATGAGTTATTCAATCATTGGCCTTCTTTTTTATATGGTGTCATTCATTTATGCTAGTTAGCCTCATCAATGTGGGACTACTGCAAATAATATTGCATTAATTATTTTACTTATTCCTCCACGCACACTTGGTAGTTGGTACACCCTCCTTATGTTACATTTGGGCATAAAATGTTTTTTCTATATTTTGATAACAAAAAACATTGTCAATGAATCGTGTAACATGTGTTCAGATCGTGGGGTATAGCAATATGCAAGATAATTAAATATACTTATATTTGAGATAAAAATATTAATGTTTATTTGCTTATAATTAAGATAAGAATTAGCTTAATTGTGTCCAATTGGAATATGATCCGAGGGTTGAAATCATGCAAGTGTATTCTACCCCTTTCTTTTAAAACATAAATTTGCAATTTATAATAAATTTATACTTAGCTTGTTCTTGATTTTTTAAATTTGTGTAGAAGATTAAAGGTAAGTGTCATAGATATAATTTCATTTGTTGTAAAAAGATATAATGAAATTATAAGAGTATAAAATCTATACAATAATAGTATAAGATTTTCTTATATTCGCGTACCTAGATGGTAATATGGTGAAATCATATAATACTAACACACTTTTGACATCCAAAACAATGTGGTAGTTGTCAGCAATATTAGGTTGTTAGATGTCAATTATTAATGGATCCTTAGGTTGTTTCATATATGTGACTTAAGCTTGATAAAAAAACATTATAACTGAATAATGGAGCCCTCACTAAGAGGAGCCCCTCAAAAAATAAAGGTATGCCACATTAAGTGACGAGCACACGGTATTCTTTAGTAAAAGGCGAAAGAATAGTTCGCTTTGTGCTTATCACATGGCTCCATGATTCTTCAAAAGCCAAGCTCTTTTCTTTTATACCAATAACAATTGAATCATCTCAATGGTTTCAACAATGTGGGCTTTGATTTGCATTGTAGTATTTCTTCACTTTCATGCTCTTTATAGTCAGAATATTGAAAACACTTTTTTATGCCCAATATCAAAATAAGCTGATCGTTAAAATTGAGTCGAAGAATGTATTAGCCCCTGATTTTTCGCACGAACGCCCAACTTTGTCTTGCTCATTAATGGAAGATAGTAGTAGAGTACCTAATACAAAACACCAAACTTGCACCGTTGGTGAAGGAAATGATCTAATATTTGTGTTTACCCTTGACATTTTATTTCTAATTAAGAAAATTGTTCAAACAATGTCTGAATGTTAACTTTTTTTAGGAAAAAAAAATCAAATTAGGAATTCTACAATAAATTATAATTTTCTTAAACAAATAAATCATTTAATTAGACGATTTTGAAATAAAATATGAGAACAAGAACTTAAAATTAGTGGGTGCACCGGCCCATGTAATAATGCAACACATGAGTGGTATGAATTATTCAATCGTTGACCTTCTTTTTTATATGGTGTCATTCATTTATGCTAGTTAGCCTCATCAATGTGGGACTACTGCAAATAAGATGACACAATCATAAAAAACAAGTGTTAGTTGTCAACATGGCTGCATGACTCTACGATAGCCATGCTCTTTTCTTTTATACCATTAACATTTGAATCCTTCCAATGGTTTGAACAATGTGGGCTTTACATTGTAGTATTTCTTCACTTTTCAAGAGCTTTGAGTCATATGAATGGAATCACAATTAATATTTGATGTTAACATCATATTCTTAATATTTTTGTTTATTGATCTTAGAAATGGAAATTCAAATAAATATTGCAGCTGAATAAAATTAGATGTGAAGCCTTTTATTTTACATGAAGCTTCTGCTTGGTTAATGAAGGACCCGATGGGAAATTCCCTTATATTGATTACTAAGTAATGATATCATTCAATTAATGTCTTTCACATATTGTGGGCACAAAAACATGTGAAGGGGAAGCTGAGACACAAACTCTTAGGCAATAGGTCTAATAAGATTGTTCCAACAACATGAGTAGGAGAATGCCAAATATTTGCATATTGTAATTATTTCTAGTTATGTAAGATCAAAATAACTCTTTTCCAAAGAACTTAAGATCACTAACTTGTTATTTGTATCTAGTGACAATCACATTTATCGATATAAGAGATTATTCACAAAGTAAATTATAAGAGATTTATTCACAAAGTCCATATGGGTAAATTATTCACAAAGTATTTAGTTATGACCCAATTATAAGAGATTTCTTAATATAATAATTCTTTTTTCTTATCTTGTCGTATGTTTTAATTACATTTATCGATATATTATTTTATATATATCAAAATTATTTCCTATGTATTTAAAATAACTGGATTATTTTATTAACATATATTCATAAACAAAGTCCATATGGATTCGATCTTTTTATAGTTGGCCAGGAAATCGTATACTTAGGGGAAACATATTGAGTTATTTAGAAGTGAGCGAGTATATTTTGGTTAAACTTAAATTATAATCTCACAATAAATTAGTAATTATCTTAAAATATTAAAATCAACAAATATTCCTTCTAAATAAATTAGAAACAAATAACTTAAAGATGGATGTTCCCAAAGTTTAAAATTATTGCTACTTTGATTCCTAAAAATTAAATTTCACAGTGAAATAGGAAAACAAACCAAATGTCGGGACCCTATTTTCGGTTAGAAGACCGGCCCTACGACTTAGGGAGAGAAGAACTCGATTTCTACCTCTTCCAATTGATTTGGAGTCGCCACTACGTTTTTTGCAGTTAAAACGTAGAAAACTCTAAATTACGCCCAATTAGGATAATTTGGTCTTTAATAAGAGATTCTGAGCTCGGGAGTCGATTACGGATCGGGGAAGGTATTAGCACCTCGTCCGCCCGTATTACAATGGTACCCTCGCTAATAACTAAGAATGGTAGGGTACACCGGCTCATGTAATAGTGCAACACATGAGCGATAGCTGAGAGACCCAATAGCAAGCTTTTGTAATGGACTCTTCACTTTAAAAAAGTAATTTAATATCGTGTGGGCCAATGACCCATATATCAGATATTAAACTGATAAGAACAGATACCCAAAAGGCCTAGTAAATGTGGGACTGCAATTAACATTGCATTAGTTATTTTCCTTATTCCTCCCCATACACTTGGTACACCCTCCTTATGTTGCATTTGCTGTGCACCATGTAAGCTTGAAGCTGAGGCACATAAACCCTAAGGCAACAGGTCCGAAGATTCAAAATTTTGTATTGGATTGGCCATAAAGGTTCCCCTCCCTATTGACTTATGCAATGTTCCAGTTTGAGGTTCAGTCTAGTTAAGAGGCTAATCATCTATGTGTGGAGCTGTTGGATTATTTACCAAGACTAAATACTCATTTTAGACTCCCTTATTTTTTAAGCTTACCAGTTTGGTCCATAAAAAATTGAAAAATAAAAAATGGTCCCAAATTTTTTAAAGGTGGGTCAAATTAGTTTTTATTGGTGCTGTAAAACATGCTAAAAATAACAAACTTAATCCACATTTGAATTTTTAGGACCGTTTTAGATTTTCTAATTTTTGAAGGACGAAATAAAAGATTGTTCTAACATGAGTGGAGAATGCATTTGCACATGTTAAAAGAAGCTATATATACCGGTTGGGATTGAAATAGAGACAATTAATAACAAGCTTGAAATATGTAGATGGTGAACAAACCATGTTGTCACCAATTACAAACTCACATTTATGTTTTGTTAACTTTTGTTTAGTTATTATGGTGCAACTTTAATTAATGTGTCAATTTGTAATTGGTAACACATAGAAGTGACATAGACAACTTGTGCTCGTCCAAATGATAGTGTGGTTTAGCTACACGTGATTATAACTTGATTTCTAGATAAGATCAATATTTATGATTCAATGGGAGTCATAAATTGGTCAATGGGTAAAGTGAAAGACTTTAAAATTGGAGTAATAAGGAGGTTGATGATTTAATTATCACATTCCACAAAATATCAACCTTTCCCTATAAAAATATATTCATGATTGAACACAAAATAATCTTATAACATATTCAGTATTTGAGTAAAAAACTCAACAACTTGGAGTCTCAAAATTTACTTTTTACATTTTGTAAATATAATATCATTTTTTTATGAGGGAAAATGACACCAATGGCACACTTTATATAAAATTATTACTATTTTCGTTCCAAAAAATAATTTTTTAAATGAAAAATGAAAAAAAAAATCATAAATAATTTGAATCTCCACCTCTATAATTTTATATTGAAATGATGAAGAATAATTATACATTATCATAATAGTAAACAAATTAAGTTACAACACAGTAAAGTTCATAATTATTTAACGGTATTATATAAATACTATTAAGTAAAAATCAAATTGAGATTCTTAGTAAAATAGTTTTGGAGTGTCAAAATATAATTTTAAGGTTCCGAAGTATAATACCATTTTGAATTAGTAAAATTGATAATGATTTTTTATTTAAAATTGTTGACATTTTGATTTCTAAAAATTAATTTTCCCAATGAAAATTAAAGATAGAGAAAATATGATTTGTATTTCCATACCAATAATTTTATATCAAAGTAGTGAGTAATAATAATGCATTATTTGTAATAGTAAATAATATATGTTATATTATTGTGGGGTTAATAATTTTTAGGAATAATAAAATACTTGTGTATTTGAGTATAAAATTGAGATATTTTAAATCAAAAAATGAACAATTTTGTAATTCTATCTCAACTTGATGTTTGGAATTTAATAATTTGAAAAATATCAAATATAATGAATAAAATTGAAAAACATTGTTTTGGAGTCTCAAAATATGAATTTAAGGTTTCCTAAGTGTAATATCATTTTGGAGTGGTGAAAATAACAATACATTAATATTAATAATAGGCATAGTAAGTTATAGTACATGAAAATTACTAATCATTTTATGGTATTATATAAACTGTAAAATTTGAAAATCAATTTAAGAATTTTTATAAGTAAATGACCAAATGTTTTGTTCTTTCTAAAACTATTTTTTGAATTTAAATTCAATTTTAACCGATTAAATTTTCAAATATCAAACATGATTAAACTTGAAAATTTTATTTTGGAGTCTTAAAATATATTTCACACACTTCCTCGGTATAATACAATTTTCAATAGGAAAACTAACACCAATTATATTTTATTTAAAATTATTACTATTTTTATTCCTAAATTTTAAGTTTTCAAATGAGAAAAATATAATTTTAACATTTCCAAAGAATAATATCATTTTGAATAAGTAAAATTTATACTGGTTTTATTTTTTTATTTAAATTATTTCTATTTTGTTTCCCGAAAATTAATTTTTTCAATGAAAAAGGAAAACAAATCAATTTGAATCTCAATCTTTAATTTATATCAAAGTGTTGAAAATAATATTTTATTACTGTGTGGGTGTAATTACACCTTTGTTTAAAAAAAGTAGTATTTAAAAATCAAATTGATTATTTAAACAAAATGAACACTTTTTTTATTTTTTTCTCAAACTCATTTGGAACTTAAGAATTGTGTACATATCAAAAACACTTAATAAACTTGGAAATATTCTGAGTCTCAATACAATTTTAACACTTCAAAGTATAACATCCACTCACTATTTCATACATTGTAAAAATAAAAAAATAAAAAATATTAAAATTAATAAAAGCGTGATAAATTAAAATTAAATACTAAATCATCGATGATTATGAATTTGACGTTCAAATATATATATAATTTACCCCAATAAATAAATAAAGATCACAACTTGGAACCGAAGCAAAATAAATTAGGGGATGTCCCCCATCTTTTGGCTAATATCACTGAATATTATTATGGAGTTTCCTTTTTATATTGTATCTTCTCATTCTGCTTGTTAGCCTTGTCAATGTGGGACTAAAAATAATATTTGGGGTCAATAATGTTTTTCAACAAGATAGTAATTAAGGTTATTAAACATGTAGTTGGAATTGGAGTTTGACACATAAGTATTGTAAGGCACCTAGTATGAATAGTAGAATGACAATCCAACCAAATTCTTTTATATTTAAAGAGTTATTTAATTTTACATTTTAGCATCTACTAATCAACTATAAACCTCAATCAGATTCACAATTATTAATCAAACTAAACATCTATAAAAATTCTAACTGAATCATGGAACCCTCCATAAGAAGAAACCCTCAAAAAATAAGCACACGCCCACTTTAAGTGAGATGCGCACAATACTCTTTAGTAAAAGGCGAAAGAATAGTTCATTATTTGCTTATCACATGGCTATGTGACTCTTCAAATTTCAAGGTCTTTCCTTTTATATTAGTAACATTTGAATCCTCTCACTTTAACACTGTAAGATGTTTTATTTGTTTCCTTTGTTTTATTAAATATATCATCGCTATTTAAATGTGCATCTAAGGCTTTGGATTTGTATTCTTCATTGATAGTATATAACTCAATGATAAAGTTATTGGGGCTATTGAAAATTGAAATGAACTACACCTTGTAAATTTAATTGTACTTGTAAGCCTTTCCCCAAATTCTATTAACCCTTTTTAGCTATTACAGGCACAAGATCCCACTGAGTTTTAAGAACCTCTTGAGTTTTGACCGTGTATATGTGGAGATGACGTTAATAAGTAAAGATATACAATTTAGATGTGTGAATGCATGAGTTTCAATTCTCCATACAATGGAGGGTAGAGTGTATATAATTTAGCTATTATGTTTGTTGTTGGGGAAGGTTAATAGAATTGGTCACATGATCTACATTTTGGTTAAATAAGAGATTAATCATATTATGTTATTACTAAACCAACTTTCTACACACACAAAAAGCTAGGACATCTCTTCAATAAAGTAGTATTATAACTAAGAATGGTAGGGTGCACCAGTTCATGTAATAGTGTAACACATGAGCGATACTTGAGAAACGCAATAGCAAGCTATTGGAATGGTCTCTCCCCTTTAAAAAAGTAATTTAATATCGTGTGGGCCAATGACCCACATATCAGATATTAAACTGATAAGAACAGATACTACACTTGATCTTAGCCAAAAGGCCGAGAAAGGTATGAGTTATTCTACCATTGGCCTTCCATTTTATACTGAGTCTTCCATTTCTACTTATTGGCCTTGTCAATGTGGGATTAAAAATAATATTTGGTGTGAATAGTGTTTTACTACACTTGTACCTTAACAATAAAGTTGTAAGCTCCTTGCACTTATTTCATTATTCATAGACTAGGAATGTAAATCACAGTTTATATGTATCATTACTTTCTTACTCTTTGGAGTAACAATTTTTGGATTATATATACATTCTTTTTATAAGACTCTTTTGAGATTTTTGTATTAAACATCTTCAATGTTTTATGTACAACAAATGAATTTGTCATCATTTAATAGAGCAAATTGAGTGGAAAAGAAAATTATTTGGTCTCATTAACTACACCAATGAATGATTGTTTCGGTAAATTTGATCATCTTCACGATGATTACACATTTCCTTAATCCCCATAAATTATCCAAAACGATTTTATAAAAAATATTGAATGAAATCATGTTAGTTTAATTTTTATATGGACAGAAACTCTCCCATGGTTTTTTAGGAGTCATTCACAATGACTTCAAAATAACTTTTCTTTACGAGCATTATTATAGTATTATTTAATATATAATTCAAGAAATTTAGCATTCAAAAACTAACTCTGAAATTTCTTGTTAAGTTAAAATATTATTTTTAAGACATAATGTCATTTTTCTCTTTTAAAAAAAAATACCACTATAACACACTAGTTAATATTCTCTAGAACAAAACATTTAAAAACAATTTTCTTTAAGAAGATTTACTTCATAATAAATGTGGGTATAAGGCTGAAAACAAAAATTAATATGACAGTTGTTTAAAAGGTGGGATTAGACGAGAAGCAACAAAGATAGGAAACATACCATGGAAATATTTTTGCCAATTCAAAATCGCTTGATAGGATGAATGTACTTGGTTCAAGGTAGGAAAAGTGGTGATCCTATATTCTCATGTAACATTTTCCTACTTCTCAGTTTTACCCTTCTACTAAACCACATAATTCAGAGCAGCCATAAGGGTAGTATCGCAGTTTCGGCCTACATATTTATCTCTCATTAGTTTGGGTCAGTGATCTAAAATGCTTTCCGCAATACATAATGCGGATGCGGCCGGCATCGCATCGGTAACGCACCGCAATTGCGGTGTGATTGAATTCCACACCAAAAATCGCAACAAAACATTGTTGCGGCCGCATCGGGCCGCAACGCAACCGCATCAGACTGCATCAGACTGCATCAAACCGCATCGGACCACATCGAATTCAAAAATATTGTTTTACTCACAAAATATTCACACCGTAACGGCCACACGGTCACAATCACAGAAACCGCAACCATTACCACAATTTAAAACACTGGTTTGGGTTTTAGTATCACGTGTAGCACTAAAATAGAACGTCAATGTTGAGATTTTAGTATAAAAATGAATTTTGGGAATAGATCGTTATACATATTTATCTCTCTCAAACCTAGCATTAGCATACATGACACATTCATATAACTCAAAGACAAACTAAATCAATGTGTTAAAATTTCAAGAACATGTACAAAAATAATATTTTTTTCTGGATTAAAAGACAAGACAATTTAATTTCCAAAAGACAAATTTGAATTCCTCTTCTCTAGTACTGTAGTTGTGGAGTCCTGCAAAGGAAGACTCACTCAAAAATAAGTGTATGCCACAATGAGTGACGAACACACGGTATTTTTTAATAAAAGGCGAAAGAATAGTTCGCTTTGTGCTCACCACATGGCTCAATGAAGATGATGAATCCAATCCCTTCATTTTTATATTAACAACATTTGCTTACTCTCACTGCTAATTACGATGTGGGCTTTGGATAGTTGGGATGAAGTTTGCTTCCACATGACCAAGACATGCTTGGTTCACATAGGAATGTTAGTAATTGACCTTTGTCACACATAAGTATCGTAATAAAATAATATTAACTTTCTACACACAAAATGGGAAGGAGATCTCTTTAATAAAATAATATTAAAACTAAGAATGGTAGGGTACACCAGCTCATGTAATAGTGCTAACACATTAGCGATATATGAGAGACCTAATAGCAAGCTATTGGAATGGTCTCTCCCCTTTAAAAAAGTAATTTAATATCGTGTGGGCCAATGACCCACATATCAGATATTAAACTGATAAGAACAGATACTACACTTGATCTTAGCCAAAAGGCCGAGAAAGGTATGAGTTATTCCACCGTTGGGCTTCCTTTTTATATTGAGTCTTCCCTTTCTGATTTTTAGCCTTATCAATGGGGACTAAAAATAATATTTGGTGTGAATAGTGCTTCACTACACTGTACCTCTACAATAAAAATAAAGTTGTACACCCCTTACACTTCATTATTGATGGAGTAGGAATGTAAATCACGGTTTATATGTATAGTTACTTTCTTATTCTTTGGATTAAGAGTTTTTGGATTATATCTTATAGAGAAAGTAAAGTTAATTGCAGAAGAGGAAGACATGTTAAGCTTTATTGTATGCCTGCATAACCCGCATGTTTCACAGAAGACTAAAAATATAACTCAGAGAATACATTTATGTTTAGTCTGAATCATGTATATAGTATCACACAACAATTTCTAATTTCAAAGGGGTTTGAGTATATATAATACTGCTACATAATGTGTATCATAGCAAAGTTGTGAGTTGAACTAACTACTTCTACCTTGTCAATTTGTATGTTTCAACTAACTACTTCTACCTTGCCAATTTGTATGTTTCATGTTATGATTAAAAATAAGCAAAGTAGTTTTGCTAGCAACATACAAAACATGCTCCTTTCTATGGCACAAACTTGAAATATGTACATGGTGAAGAAACCATGCAGGCTTGCAACAACAATTAGCCATGTCTAAATAATTGAATAAATCCATAACTTGATTTATGGACAAGAATAATATTCATGATTGAACACAAAAGAATCATTGAATAGATTCACTGTTGGAATAAAAAAAAGACAATAGCTTGGTCTCTAAACAATATAGAACAATTAATTCAAAATTAAATTAAAGAAGATTATTGGGATGGGAAGTAGGAGCAAATCTAGTAAATTGTTAATGTAGTTCTCAATATACATTTTATGCTTTGACATAGACTTTTGTATCTTTAGAGAACATAATTTAATTCACCTACAATTTTAAAAAAAAAATGTTATCAATTGAAATTTGTTTATATCATCATGATATCCCAATTACAAGAGCTTTCTTAATATAATTGAATTATTTTATTAAACTCAAATTCTGAAACACAATCTATTCGATCTTTTTTTATTTGATGATGAAATCGTACAGTTGTGCGATGATTAAACTTAAATTATAATTTCATCCAGTAATTTTAAGAATGACCATACATTAATTCTTGGACATATTCTCTTCTTAATTTTTAAACACAAACCAACTTCTATTTTTTTTAGAAGCTATACATCTACTTCATGTAGTGTGTCTCCAGCATATACTAAATTCCATTGGTTTAAAGTTTCCACCATTCATGTATGTACATCACTTACATTGAATTTGAATGGCGGATAATACATTAGTAGCATAAAAAAATTATACATATTTTATGGATTTAAACATAGAAAGTAAAATTTAGATAATAATTATGGTTTACAAAAATTGTGTTAATAATTCATTCTATTTGATTCGATTCCTTATCTAACCCAAGCTAAGTGTCATTCCATGTTCTTCACTCGCTTCAAAACCAACCCTTACCCATAGCCACAAATAGAGGAGCACTTCTATCATATCTCTTGCTCAAGGAACTTTATTTTTATTATGCAAGTATCTTCTTCAACCAATAGAATTATGAAAATGCCAAACATGTTCAATGGACCTCAAAATATACTTTTGACACTTCCTAAATATAATATCATTTTTAATAAGGAAAATTGACACCAACAATATTTTGATTTTAAAAGTATTGCTAATTTCACTACCATAAATTAAATTTCTAAGTGAAAAAATAAAATAAGCCAAAGATAATTTAAATTTGCGCATCTATAATAGAGTTCATCATTACTTGGCGAATTATATAAATCATAATACGTAAAAATAAAATTGAGATAGTTAGTAAGAAATGATTGAATTTCTGATTCTTTCTCAAACTATTTGTTGTAATTTAAAGTCAATTTGATTTGATGAAAAGGGAAAAATTTGAATCTTCACTTATATAATTTAAGATCAAAATAATGAAGAATAATAATATGTTATCAGTAAAAGGGAACAAATTAGGATAAAATAAAGTTAGCACTTATTTAACGGTATTATATAAATAGTAGTATTTAAAAATTTAATTGAGATTTTTTATAGAAAAATGGAATTTTATTATTCCTTCTCAAATATTTCAAACATGCTGAATAAGGTTGAGAAAAATCAAAGTTTAAAAATATACATTTGACGCTTCCTAAATATTTTATCCCATTTTCAATGAGCAAAATTGATATTAATTATATTTTTTATTAAAAGTTTACTATTTGATTCCAAAAAATTAAATTCCAACTTAAAAAAGAAAATAAATCAAAGATGAGACAAAACAATGAAAAATTTCAACCGAATTATGGATTCCTCAATAATCCAATGTGGGCTCTGTAATGTAGTATTTCTTCACTTCATAAATGTTTCACATCACTCTAACAGAGTAAGATGTTTTATTTGTTTATTTTGTTTTATTAAATATATCATCACTATTTAAATATGCTTCTAAGCCTTTGGATTTGTGTTCTTCAATGATAGCACATAACTCAATAATAAAGTTATTGTGGTTATTGAAAATTAAAATGAACTACGCTTGTAAATTTAAATGTACTTGTATAAATTCTAGAGAATAATGTATCTTTTGGTATAAGGATATAAGTTATCTCCTCCAACCACTAAAATCGTGACATGTGTACCATTTTATCATTTTCTACAAAAATATTTCTAAAATTAAACAAAACTAATACACATGTCATTCTTTTACTGACTGGAGGAGGTAAGTTATCTCCTGGTATGAGGAAATCCTTATGCAATATATAAAGAAGGCAAAAAACTCAAGGCCATCCCACAAGTGATATCTAAGAATGGTAGGGTGATCTACATCTTGGTTAATTATGGGATTTTGTCATCTCTTTAACAAAATAGTATTAAAACTAAGAACGATAGGGTGTACCAGCTCATATAGTGCTAACACATAAAAACTAAAAATGGTAGGGTGATCTACATCTTGGGATTTAGTCATCTCTTTACCAAAATAGTATTAAAACTAAAAATGGTAGGGTATACCAGTTCATACAATAGTGCAACACATAAGCGATATCTGAAAGACCCAATAGCAAGCTATTGGAATGGTCTCTCTCCTTTAAAAAAGTAATTTAATATCGTGTGGGCCAATGACCCACATATCAGATATTAAACTGATAAGAACAGATACTACACTTGATCTTAGCCAAAAGGCCGAGAAAGGTATGAGTTATTTCATAGTTGCACTTCCGTTTTATTTTGAGTCTTCCCACTATGCTTGTTAGCTTTGTCAATGTGGGACTAAAAAATAATATTTGGTGTGAAAAGTGTTTTACTACACTTGTACCTCTAACTACTTCTACCTTGTCAGTTTGTATGTTTCATGTTATGATTAAAAATAAGCAAGTAGTTTTGCCAGCAACATACAAAACGTGCTCCTTTCTATGGCACAAACTTGAAATATGTAAATGGTGAAGAAACCATGCAGGTTTGCAACAACAATTAGCCATGTCTAAATGGTGGTGCTGGTTTGGCTACGTGTGATTAACAAATTAAATCCAAATTACAAAATAGATGTAGTAATCAGTGCATCACATATATGGAAAACACATTGAGTGATTTAGAAGGGAAAACACATTGAGTGATTTAGAAGGGAGCAAGTGTGTTTTGATTAAACTTAAATTATAATCTCATACACTAATCTATACATAAAATAGTAATTATCTAAATATTAAAAGTTGCATTGCTTCTAAAAAAATTTAAACAAAGAACTTGAAGATGGGGAAGTAACTATGTGATTGGGTGAGAAAAGTAAAAAGAATAGCATTAACATGATTGAAAATTTTACTTCTATATGTTTTTCAATATACAATTTAACCAATGCTAACCCACAAATTGTGACACCCAAAATTTAATGTCTTTGAAATGAGGTAACAGTCCTGAAAGTCCTGAAGGAGGGGGCATACTGCTAGATTCTCGCTTGAGCGAGAGGGTCTCGCCCAAGCGAGAGACCCAGTGTTTTAGTTTTGGGAATTCTGGGAATCTCGCCCAAGCGAGAAAGTGGTCGCTTGAGCGAGAGAAGTCGGGGCAGGCTGTGAGATTCTCGCTTGAGCGAGAGAATCTTGCCTAGGCGAGAGGGTCCGTGTTTTGAAACTTAAAATATCGCGGGCTTCTCGTCCAAGCGAGATATTCTCGCCCGGGCGAGAGTGCCCATTTATAAAAAAAAAGAAAGAATTTTACAAACCCTAATCTTCATTTTCTTTTCTCCCCTTTCATTCCCAATGGCGGCTCCCCATGGATTTCAACTCTTTCCTCCACTCATCCTCAAAAACACATCAAAACATCTTCCCATTGCTTCTTAATGGAACATTGGAGAGCTTTGGAGATGAAAAAGCAACAATGGAGGTTGAAGGAGATGGAGGGAGATGAAGCTCTTTGCGGATCCATGGAGCTTACGCAACCTAAGGTGAGGGAGAAGACCATTGTGGTCTTAGAGTATTTTCATTAGAGTCGTCTTCTCCAATTTTCCTCAAGAATCGAAGAATGTTAACGGATAGAAACTCTCTTGTCCATGTGAGAGTCTTTATTTTCCATGAAGATGTATTAGCCATAAAGATGAAGATATATGTGTATGAAAACCGTTTGATTAGATGAAATGCAATATGCTCATTTATGGTAATACACCGTCATGAAATATGGTTTTATCGTTAATGTTATATGATGATAAATATGTTCTGAGTTGTTTATTTGTGATAAAAAAGCATGAGTATGTTCATGAAAATGATTAAGTTGTGAGTCGCTTATTGGTTATAAACATATATGAGTATGTTTGTAATAATGATTTTGCGATGAGCGGTTTATTGATGATAAATGAACATGATTATATTATGTGATGATGATTATGGTGTGAGTTGGTTATTTGTGATAAAAGGATAATGATTATGTTATATGACGATGATGATGTT